GTCTGGGTGACAGAGTGAGATTCCAACTCAAAAAAAAAAAAAAAAAAGAATGTCTAAATGCTTTCTAATGGTTATTCTGAGGCAAAAAGACTAAACTAAGAATAAGCTAAGTTTCTTCTAGGTTTCTATAGGTACCTTTCACATAGGACCTACTGTCCAACTGAGACATAGCCTGTCATGGCCTCAATGGTTTAGAAGAGAACACTTGGCCTGCTTCAAGATCACAGAGAAAGGAGAAGAAAAATCATATATAGTTTAAATTATATTACGATTACTTATATTATTTATTATCAACTCATACTTTTATTTCTCTCGTATTTTATTGATAATTTGGTCATTCGGGCCTTAACAATGTTGGATCCTTATTTTGAATGAACAAGGTATATGAATATCTAATATTAGCAGGGGTGAAATTTGTAGAACATGCAGAAATTATCTGTAGAACAAAGAGACACTTGAAGCCTCTGACCAGGCCTAATGGAAATCTGGTTTGGACGGATATCTAAGGCGAAAGCTCATTTTGCGTATGAGAGGAATGGAAAATCCATCAGGACAGCCAGGGATTAGAGAAGATGAGCTTTTGGGAGACGACTGTCAGCAAACTAGTGGGCAGAGTAATTCTGGGGTTAAACAGCAGTAAAATTAATTAGGAGGTCTTAAAACCAGGACTCAGTACAGTTATACAAAGCCCGAGGAATATTTTTGCCTGAAGAACCTACTGTTTTTCTTTATCGTCCAAGTGTCATTTGAGTTAAACAGAAATACAACCACAGTCACACTCGGAGCTCTAGAGAATTCTTAAGTACTATTGTATGTTTCCTTTTGCAGAGAGATGGTGAAACAGAGGCTTCTGCTCACAGCCCCAAGCATATCCCGCTGGGCAGAGGCACTGAATGACGTGTTCCTTTTCAAGTTTTTCTCATACAGTCGGGAAGAGAAATGGTGATTTACGGCTGAGAAGCAGTAATAGCACTTGTGTATATTACGTCTTCCCAAGATATTTTGAAGGCAAGGGTCGGGGAGGGGACCGGAAAGGGGGAAGGAAAGGAGAGAATGCCAGCAAAACTGATGCCCGGTGTACAGCAGGTTCTAGAAAAATGCAGAGCAGGTGTGTGTGCTCTTGCCACAAAAGTGGCAACTCTGTGCATCAGTGCATTTGTCAACTAGCTGGATTCACCACCCCACAAAGTATATGAACTTTGAAACAATGTGTTTGATAAAAACATGCAATAATCAATTTAAATAAATAAAACACACACACACACATTGGGTACATTTGAGGAGAATGTGGCAGGGATTGCCCTCTTTGCCCTAAGACTCTATTCTTCCTCTCGGGTGACATATGTGCCATGTCCTCCAGTACCCCGACTTGCCGGAGAGCATGGATTAAACCGAGAAGGCACTGGATGGAGGCTTTCCTAAGACATGTGTTTAATTTTAAAGGGGCTGTAAGTCAAAGACCACTGCAGAAAACTGCAAGAAGTAGACGGACAATGGCCCCGTTGGAAATGTGACAGCAATGGCCCTGGAGTCTGTAGATTTCCCCAAAGAACAAAATCTAATTAGATGGACTCTCTTATGTCAGCAAATGAA